AGCGGCCACAATTTTTTGACGTTATTTTCTGGGAGGAGGGGGGTCATTACTACCAGAATTTTACGGTATCATTATTGCCGAGCACCCTTAACATGAACCTCTGGCTTGGACGATTTGCGCGTACACTTCCTGCGTTATTGGCATTTCATAAATCACTCACTTACTCACTTAACTGCAACAAGTGCTTATTTTAATTAAATGCTAAACTTTGCCAGCCACGTCAGTTACCGATTTTAAGTCTATTAAATTTCACCTACAGTACAAAAATTTGCAAAAAACCCCGAGATTATTTGTAACTTGAATATGACGAGTACTCTATTCACTTGCTGGCTAAACATAAAATGGCCATTCCTAACTTTACGTCTGCCGAGTCGAAATTTTCCATAATCAACGCAAGGCGATATTGATAAGAATTGACCTGACTCATTAACTTATCTTTTTTTGTTGGGTACTCTCTTTCCTGCTGTACTCTTACCTGACCGTTCCGGTTGACTGGCACCGGGGCAACCTTCATCATCAGGATTTTGACAAGGTAATGTGGTATAATTGGTACACTGATCGCTTTTCTCTGCCATTGAATCCTTGTCCCCGTCACAAAAGGGATTGAACGAACCGATGACCTCTTTTTGTATACCATCGGCCTCATCTGAGGGATTGCAGTAGGTACGCCACGCGTGGCTGATACACTGTTTGGCTTCGTCACGTTTCCTGTCACGATGGAACCAAACATGATGAGGAAACCACAAATAAAAGAAAATCAAGAAGTAACTCTGTTGTGCTACTTAGGGAAATAACTTGGTTTTCAGATCTCTTTTGACCAAAGGCGAGGTCTTGGCCAAAGCCGGTTTGTACTTAACAAATAGATTCCTTGTTGCCGTGCGTCTGTTCAGTAATGAGGTTCAAATTCCTTATGATAAGCATCACAACGTGTCCTCATTGGTAAAAAAGTCACCAAAACACACATAATTCTGTCAAATATGAAGTAATATGAAAATGTCAAATAACCCTGCCATATATGAAGTATTAATTAAACAATACTCCCGTTCAATCCTGGACATAAGTGGTTAGATCACTGATGACGTCAAAATGTTGTGAGAACAAAACAGTGGCACATGTGGCGATAGCCGAGTGTGTCATTGATATTCTTACCACATTTTGACGTCTTTTGACGTCTTATTACTGAACAGACGCACGGCAACATGGAGTCTACTTGTTTTATTTGAAGAAAAAACAAAGAATACTAAGGACATCATCTATGCGTCTGTAGATCATAAGTAAGAACCAATCAAAATGCGAAAACATTTTGTAGAACACGGTATCACTTCATGAGTTATGTGGTCGATCTCGTCTCCAGGTCCTGCTCTTTTTTTTTNAATAAATACCAAGAACGCTGACTCTGACCGGTCCGATATTTTGAGCAAACCCGGCGTACTCATTTTTAACTGTCTAGCCATCAGCCCCAAGCGCAAACGGTAAAAAAGTCAGTGCATCCAGGGCACCACCCCCAAATCGAGCTTGACCCAACCCGCGTTCTTGGTGCTGAATAAACGAAAAGCGTGCTCCAAGGAAAAGATTGGAATATGGTAGGCGAGAAAAGCTAAGAGCGCATTCCCAAAATTTAACTTGAAAAGGCGGACGTGTAGAGTGGATAATTATTGGACGAGTCTGAGGAAAAGATCGTGACCTGTCAGAGGCGAGGAGATTGCCGAAACCAAAGGCTGAGGCAAAGAATTCATTTGCAAGACAGACAAATAACGATGTTTTGTCCAATAACCGAGTTCAATAATTGTTTATCATTCGATCACCAAGTTTGTTTTCATATCTAAATCACTCTCTGACAGCTCAGGGAAGTGATCCGCCATTTTTCACCAGAGAGCGTGGTTACAATTACGCATGAGCAGAATATTATTTGCAGCAAAATACATTTAGATGGTATTACACATAAGCAGATCATTATTTGAAGGCAGTTATTTGCAGGTCTTTTGCAGGTCACGTGGTGGGCCTTCCTGTCAATGCATGTGTGGAATAATAACTATAGTTAATGAACGCGCTAAAAAAGAGTTAATTTTTTTTTCTTTGACAAGGAAAAATGACAGTTAGAAGTAGCCATCAACGAGCAAAATGGTCCATGATAGCGTGGCCATAGGAACCATGCAGTGGCCTAGAACGGTCCTGGCACAAGATCTCAAACAGGAGTATACAATTTTCAGACCTCACTGTTCAAATAATTATGAGGTGCGAGACCGGCTCTCCTTATTTTCTCATGCACTCACAAATACACGACATCAGGATTAAAAAGAGCTACATGTTATTTGCCGATTGGGAGGTCCGAAAGGCGAAAAGCTGTGGCCGAGGGTAGCAATTGCAAGGCTGATGTCATAGTTTTTCACTATACGAACCGAGCAAAGCCGGTAAATTACTTTTTTCTCTCTCTCTTTTTCTCAAACCTCTTTTTTAATATTGACCATTACCACACACATACATCGTGCAATAACGTGATCGTGATTAGAGATAGGAAAATCCGGACCACGTTAAGAACCAATCAGATTGCAGTATTCGTTACCATGCACTTTTTTAAAAAAATAAGAAAAAAGATCTAATGTTATACCTGCATAGAGATGGATTTAAAAAGCTTTTGGAAAAGGTTGCCGCAAAGTTACTGAGGCAGTGACGAACTTCCTCCTTGTGCTTGTTGGAACACGTAGAGAGGGATAACAGCAGAGGTCTCTCCAAGTCAAATCCGTTGCAGTATAGCTTCTCGATCTCCATTATATCGGCCCCTAGCAGGCTTTTTGTATGATTATCGGTAGTTAAACAGCTCTGGGATGCATCTATGACTTGTTTGTGCAAGATCCAAAACTGAAGCCTTAAATAATACGCCAAAAACATTCCAAGCGTAAATTAACATCAAGGGTTTAAAACAACAGTAAATAAAATATACACGTAGCTGACATTTTATTGAATTTTTGAAAACCACAGCACTAGAGCTGAATAAGGTAAAACTTTACGAAATAATTCAAATAACAAGACTATGCTAAAATGTGATCCATGAAAAACACCACATAAAATCAAAAGTTGTAAATAGCAATAACGCAGTGCCAAATAAAATCGCCTATGTACACTGCTGTAGAAAAAGCTAGCTATTCTTTAGTCTGTTCGTTTTTGCAACTAGGAATGTGATATCTTCGATTATTTCTCAGATCA